GGTAAAAACTCCCCAAGTCAAAAAACAAACAAATGAACCCTGAATGCTAAGCCAAAAACAAATCAAAAATGCCTAACAGACAAGCAAACTAGGGACCGGGGGGCGGGGGGGAGGGGGGCAGAGAGGTGGATGCAGGTGCTGGCTAAAAACCTCACAAAACTGGAGGAAATCTGCCTGCACAACCCCTGTCTCAGACTACAGTTCATCACAGAAGGAAAACCTGACGCCTGACTTACAGGAAAGTAACCGAGACGGCCACACGTGAAGGGGGCGGGCGATCTAGCAACAGGAAAAGGCACACACTCCAAGTGTCACTTCAAGGGGCCACTTTCTCAGCTTTGAAAGAGGAGTCCAGACAGACCACCTCTCCCACAAAACAACTGAAAACACTAGGCAGTTATTTAACTGAAACAAAACGGAGGACCTGGGAGGTCCTGAGGACCTTGCTGCCCAGGCAAGACTTAAGGAACTCAGATCCCAAAGACAAGGGGAGTCCACGGACAGTCCTACGCCTGGGGCCTTGCTTCGCCCTTGAGGCTTCTTCCGGCTACGGAGTTTCTGACGAGAAGCTAAACAGAGCTTTCAGAATTTCCACAAGGTCTGAAAGGAAAAAATTAGAGCTCAGAACCAGCAGACGAGGATGGAAACTGGTAAACAGCTCAGGGATCCAATGTGGGTTGGACGAAACAGTGCCCCCCGAAAGTTCCTGTCCGTCTGAAACCACAGAATGTGACTTTACTTGGAAAAAGGATCTTGCAGATGTAACTGGTTAATTTGAGGTAATACTGGAGTAGGGTGGGGCTAAATCCCATTGGGCTGCTGTTCTAAGGAGAGAGAAGGACAAGGAGACAGAGACACAGAAGGAAGAGGCCACGGGAAGACACAGGCCCAGACTGGACTGAAGCAGCTACAACCAGGACCGCCAAGGACGGAAGACAACCACCGGAAGCTGGGCACGCATTCTCCCTCAGAGCATCCAGAAGGGACCAACCGTGCCAACACCCAGATTCTGGCCTCTACACCAGAATCTGGATTCCTGGCCTCTACACCGGGAGACAATAAATTTCTCTCTGCTGTTTTGAGCCACCCAGGGTGTGGAAGTTTGTTATGGCAGCTCTAGGAAACAGATATACGCTGGAAACCCCAAATAACTAGTCCTAGCAGTAAGGGAAAAGCAAAAATAGATCAGCCCTCGCAAATGCTGAAGCCCAGGCATGAAATGCTCAGTCCTCGACAGGAGAAAACTGATCTTCCTCTATTGTACTTGCCTGAGCAGCAAGAGTGAATTCTCTCTGAAGAAAGAGAACATCATCCCAAGCTTCCAACAACACCTGGGACTCAGTCACATACACAACATACACAACACCTGGGACTCAGTCAAAACTACCAAGCACATGCCAAAGACAAGAATGCACTCAATATCAAGACGACAACAAAAAAATAAGGGGCTTCTGGCGATAGCCAAGTGAGAAGTTAACAAATCCTCTCCCTAGAAAGCAAGTTTATAACTAGACAGAAATGAAAGAGACCACCATTCCGCACTCTGGAAACTGACTTCAGGGGTTTACCATCTGAGAAGTGTTTCTGTTCGAAAACTGCTAAATTTCAGGTAAGAACAGCAAGAATGCTAACAACACAACACTATCTCAGCTGTCAGGGGCATAGTCAACAGTAAATGTGGGCCCAGAGCCAGAGATCCTCAAGCTGAAGAAAAGCTAGAAATCCATCTTTCAGCACAAAATCTCATCATTTTTAAATGTTGAGAACTTAAAAAAAAATTTTTTTAAGCACACTGTACCAGGGCACCAGTTTCTAAACTCAGCCCAACGTGCACCCCAACCCCAGCTGAACAAACGCAGTCCTGACCGGCAGACCCTCAGTACTATCGACTGTATTGTGATTTTCGACAGTATCATTATGTTCAGTCATTACCTTGAACTCCGTTCTCCTCTCTTCAAAAGGTAATGTTCCTCATGTGTAAACAGAGCTACTGCAACAGCCTGTGGGTTAATTCACTGTTATCCTATTGTCCCCTGTCGCTTCCAGTCCAGTTAACTGAGCTACAGTGGTCTACAGAGGAGCAACAAAGGGCAGGGCACCAGGGTTCCTGCCTGAAGAGGGGGGAGCTGACAGCAGCCAGGAATCTGACATCAGTCTGACCTGGTTGGAAGCCTCAGTTCTGCCATTTACTAGCTATGCGAAAGTGAGCAACTTATTCACTTATCTGAGCCTCGGTGGCATCATCCGAAAAATAAGGGCATCATCACCCAGCCTGGAAGGCTGCTGCCAGGTTATCAAGCACCAGCTCTGGCAGCTCTGTGCCCAGGCCTGGGCTCTGCATGCGCTTTCTCATCAAGCCCCCACCACAAAACCGTGACCTTATTTTACGCACGAGGAAATGGAAGCTCAGAGAGAGGATGTCCCAGGGAGCTCACGTGTGACGAGTCACAGAGCGGGATTTCTAGGGTCACACGTCACCGGCTCTAGGGTCTGGTATTAACTGCAAAGCTACATAAAGGGCCCAGGCCAGCAGCCAGCAGGGACGAGGGAGCACAGTGACACTCATTCACATCCAACCCTCCTCTCAAGATTTCATTTTCTCCATTCCGCCTGCTACGGTCATTCCAATGGCTTTACGAACAGCTGTAAACAGCCACCAATCTGATTCCTCCTGACTCCTAGCAGCTGAAAACCCACCACCACCACCACCCCCCCATACGAGGATTTAATAAAACGTTCAATAAGAGGAAAGAGGCTCTAATCAGCCCAGGACCATGTGTACCAGTGACTGGTTAACTGCACCACGACAAGACTGAAGGAAGCCCTTGGCAGCCACTCGCGGGCTAAGCCAGTTCGGTCTTTCCCCCGCTCCTAATTGCCGGGAGGCCCGGAACCTCTTCCACGGCAGAAAGCAAAGCAGAGACCCTGCTCACCGGCCGGGGTCTGTTCCGGATGCAGGTGCGGAAAGGGCGCCGAGACACCGGGAAGCGGCATGAACGAACGGTGGCCACAGCCTCACACGTGTGCTGGTGCTCCTCTGGTCACCAGGCCCAAGTAAGAGAAAGACACGAATCCTAGTCCAGGTAGGGCCAGACAGAGCCATCCTGCACGGTCGAAGGTTGGAGCCCCCGTGGGAGGAGACAGAGGAAGAGTCTACGCGTTTAAAGGGTGTTGGGGAGAGGAGGGTAACTGGTTACATGGTGACTAGGCTCTAGGAACCGAGGCGGCCTCGGCGGAAGCCTCCGGACAGCCCCCCAGGGAGACGGAATGTACGTCAGCCTCACCGGTGAAAACAACGAAGGCGCAGCAAGGGCGCTGCCCTAGGGTCTACCAGCCTTACCCTCAGGGCCTGACTCCAAAGCCAACGTTGCCTCCCACTGGGCCAGCGGCTGCCCTCATCGGACGCAAGCAGACCCAAGGCCTCGTGGCCTACCCCACACTGGTTTCTCTCAAGTAGCTGCACACGGACAGGGAAGAAGGAAACGAGAAGAAACACGAGGGCCCATCATGGTGAGGAGGACCCTGGGAAAAGGTACGTCCTCCAGCAGCTCATCAACCAGCCCAGAGCACTGAGCCAGCTGCATGTGGAGGACAGAAGCCACCAAGACGGCAGAGGCCAACATCCTAGGCGACCAAGGCAGCAGGCGGTGGCTACCATGAGGAATGAGGCCCTTGCAGGCGGCTCCTGTCTGACCCGGCCCCGTATGTCCCCAAATCTTAAAGAAGGGACCCAAGAGCACAGAAGAAAAATCAACGGTGATGGGAATCCCTCTCGTGGCTGTCCCCTGACCCCAAGGGGAAGCACGTTCGCTTGTGAACAGGAGCAACTGGGGAGATGAACGACAGAGCTGAGAATCCAAGGAAGGCAGACACACAACACGAGGGAGAGGGAGGGGGAGAGGGAGAGGCAGAGAACTGTCTTGTCTGGCAGAGAATTCCCACAGACGCCCCGGCCAGACACGGCGAGGGCCAACGGTCAGCTGTGAGCGAGGGGCCCTCTGAGCATTTCGATCAGCAGTGACACGCACGTCGCCACAGTGACAAGATTCAGGAACTAAGAGCAGCACCCACAAGCAGGGTCTGAAAGAACCTACTCTTTAAAATGTCCTGGAGGGGGGCCCCAGGGTGGCTCGGTCGCTTAAGCGTCCGACTTCGGCTCAGGTCATGATCTCACGGTCCATGAGTTCGAGCCCCACGTCGGGCTCTGTGCTGACAGCTTGGAGCCTGGAGCCTGTTTCAGATTCTATGTCTCCCTCTCTCCCTGCCTCTCCCTGTTCATGCTCTGTCTCTCTCTGTCTCAAAAATAAATAAACGTTAAAAAAAATTTTTTTTAAATAAAATGTCCTGGAGGAAGGGCAGAGTACGTATCTTATAGGACATGAGATGCTTCTAGGTTCAGATCCAAAGCAAATCGCTTCGAACAGTTTCCTCATCTGCACAATGGAGAAAATAAGGTCCCTGCTACTCACAAGGCTGCCGAATGAGCTAATTGACATAAAAGACTGACGAGGTTCCAGGCTTGTGCAAACTGCTCCTATGTGTCGGTAGCCATTATTAACACTGGCCCCGTCGGTCAGACTCACAGGAGCAGGACACGCGGGAAATGCTCTGGCAACACGCATACGGACGGTAGCACAGGCGTAAGCTCAGAGACCTGCTGTCGCTGTTGCTGAAGACAGACTTGACCGCGGAATGGCATGCTATCCCCACGCACAAAATTAGAACACGTTGAGTTCCCAGCGATTGCCAGCCACGCTGGTCACATATGCACCTTGGCTGCAGCACCCCGAGCCCCCAGAGATGGCAACCCGCGGCTCCAAGGGGTCCGCAAAGGACAACGCCAATAGTAACCACGGGTAAGACTTTCTCACTCGTGGATTTCTGCACCACCACGCTCCCCCCACCCCCGTCCCACACGATTAAAAAATAAATGAAAACTTTTTAAAAGGAGGGCAACAGAAAAGACCTCATCCTCTGTGCTGCATCAGGCCAAGCAGTACCTGTTTCTGTTTTGCTGGCGAAGCCTGCTGCCTGTTTGATTGCGGCCGCCGTGAGCGCCAATCCCCGGCTCCTCTTCAGGCCATGCTGCAGGACGGCCTCAAACTGGGCGCACAGACAGGTCACCCTGCGAGAGAACCAGTGATTCATCAGTCCGTCTGTGAAGGGAGACAGACAACCAGGGCAGCCCCAGCACCTCCGGGGAGGGGGTGTGTCAGCGGTTGTAAAGCTCAGCGGGAAGGTACACACTGGACAGCTGGATTGGCAGTCAGGTAAGTGACACGGAATTGACTGGGGCCTCTCCACACACCTCTCCCCGTTTTTGTTCATTTCACATAAGTCCAGGAAGCCCCACAAAGTCTGGCCATATTCATCAGACTCCTGAACGCATAGTAACAATTCACAGGAAACAAGGGAAATGGAATTGGTGCCAGCCATCAGAGGAGAAAAGAATAAAATCCAATTTAAAAACAGATCAGTTAGGCTTAGGGAGGGGCTGGCTGCTAACTGTATCCAATTCACAAGTTCCAACTCTAATTCATATCACATGTACTTTAAAGAATTAGATTATCTTTGAAGAGATTGAATGCACCAGCCTGCCAAATTGGAAACATTGTATAATTTCATGGCCTGTTACATACACTAAAAAAATAATATGAATTCTGATTCTTGTTCTTTATTTTGTTGCAAGAATATTGTGAAGTCAGATCCAGAGTTAATGGAAAGAATTTTCAATTAAGTTACAACTACTGTGGATTCAATTAAATTTATTTCTCAATAACCAAGGAAATAGGAGTTTCAAGATCATGTTGGCAAAGAGAGGAGGTCACAGCTACTATGTCCTATTCTTAACAACCATCCCAGGGCTCTCGGGCCCCAAGGCCCATCGGGTCTGTGGACTTCAGAGACCCTTCCATTCACTCATACAACATATGTTAAGAAATCCTGAATTCCTCTGTGCCAGGCTCTATTAATCTAGGTTCTGAGGATACAAAGACATACCAAGGTCTCTGCCTCACCACATCTGCATGGTTCTAACAGAGGGAGATACACAAAGTGAGCAGACCATTTCAGTTATGAGAACTTTGAAGAAAATAAAACAAGACGAGGTGATAGGTGGAGACACGTCAGGAACAGGCTTAGATTCGGTGGCCCAAATGGAGGTAACCTTGGAGTTACGACCTGGATGTGACAAGACATAGCAGGCTGGGCAGGGGGACCCAGTGCAAAGGCCCGGAGGCCATCACCATCTGGCTCAACCTTGCCTAACTTCAGGCATTTCCTGATCCACTCACCTCCACACCTGTAGCAATAATACTCCAAGAGTTTATTGCTCTGTCGGTGGTAAAATATTTTCATAGCCATTATTTAATTAACTCTTTCCACCAACATTATGATACAGGTGGTATTACGTCCATTTTACACCTTAAAAAAAACAGGCTAAAGACATTTCAGAGACAGTAACATGAGTACATAATAAGCAGCAATATAAGACAGTACATAATTAACAACATCTGTACTCCAGTCCTGCCCAAGCCTGAACTGATCCAAGGTAGTTTCCAATACACCCCATACCAAGACAAACATGCTTATTCTAAGACAAATGTCCTCTCTCTCCCATACCCCACTTTTACTCGAGTCCTCTGCCCGCACCAGAAAACCCTAACAGAGCATCAAATACCCAGCATTCATACATTCACTCTCCAGCCTGTGCTCATGACAGACATCACTAATCCATCCCAGCATTCCAGGCGACCACTGCCAATGATCAAAGCTGGCCCTCCACAGGAAAGAAACCTATGTGGCATCCCAAACCAAACAAGTGTCCTCAACTATGCTGGTTTCCAGCTCCTACCTTGGCTCTCCTGCAACTGGCTCAATGTCTGGTACACAGGACGTGCTCCCTAAATCCTTTCTCAGCGGGCAGGAAAATCAGTAAATAATCTTGAACCGTGAGTCCCAGATTACTCCCCCACACTGGAACAACCCTCTTCGCTGGGCAGATGTCACCCTTAAAGATGAGCTGTGCCTATGCCAGTCTCTCTACAAGTTTACCCAGGCACACATTTAAGGGCTTCCTGAAAGCTGGGACACCTAGCAAAACTATCTAAATTCCACAGCAACCAAAAGACGTATGGCAAAATGGAGCCCAGCCAAAGCCCCATCCCGGGAGGAATACACCAGAATTATTATTCTCCATAATAAACCACAGCCTGTACCTTTAAACAAATTATCGGCAAATATGGTAATGAAATCAACAATCCCTGTTAGTTTGCTTGGTTCTAGTGCACAAGTCAGTAACTGCCCCGCCAACTCTAGATAATATCTGGCCCCTAAAGAGAATGGAATGCAGGTGAACAGCACAAACCCAGTCCCCAAGGCTCAGGTTACATCATCAGTATTACCTTGCAGATGCAGACATGTCACAATCAACCTAATACAGCAGAAAACCCACAGGGGGTACTAATCCTATAATTAATTCATTGCGATGACCACCTTGCCAAAGGCCATTCTGTTTATCACCCTCCCCATGTCCCCTTTTCACTTCCCATTCTACCTGACCTTGTACCTACTGGTCATTCAAGACTTGGCTCGAGGGTCCCCTCCACCAGGAAGCCTTCCTGAGTGCTTCCTCATTCTGAGCTTCTTTCTAGTACGGCACTTGACCAACCTCTCTGTTAATGAGCTGCTCCCTAGAGCTGTCCCCTCTCGCTAACTTGAGCTCCCAGACACCAGGGATCATGCCTCATGCATCTTCAGTGTCCCAGTGTGTAGCACATGCCTGTCCCAGTATGTAGCACAAGTGTGGTAACCGTGGCCAAAATGGTGCCTCCCCTGGGGGACTCAGAATACAGACTTGCACATTCAGGCGAGAGACGCGTCTCAGGAGATGTACAATTCGTATTTCGGGCCCAGGTCGGTTGAATCAGGCAGAACACACTTGTCCAACCACACGCCATCTCTACCTCGTTAACGCATGGCGGACACACTACAGGCGCTGATTTATGACCTCACACCCTAAGGCTTCCATTTCTTCTCATCTTTACTCATTTCTATGATAATTCCTGCAAAGCAAAGGGGCAGCTGCTTGAGCGGGGCTCTTCATTTTCTCAGCTTGGTCTCTCCTATTTCCCAGAATGCTCTCTGCTAAATGCTTTCTGGCATCACTGTGGTGGGCTGGCTGCCTCCATGGCATTTCATCACATCCAACTTCTAATGTAAGTCAGTGAATTGGGCATGTTTTTAATTAAGTGGGGGGACTTAAGTAAATGTTTTCATATTTTTAAAATTTTTTTAATGTTTATTTTTGAGAGGAAGAGCGCAAGTAGGGGCAGGGGGTGCAGAGAGAGAGGAAGACACAGAATCTGAAGCAGGTTCCAGGCTCTGAGCTGTCAGCACAGAACCCAACGTGGGGATTGAACTCACAAACTGTGATATCAAGACCTAAGCCAAAGTCAGACACTTAACTGGCTGAGCCACCCAGGCACCCCTGTTTTCATTTTTTTATTGATTTTTTTTAAATTTACATCCAAATTAGCACATAGTGCAACAATGGTTTCATGAGTAGATTCCTTAATGTCCCTTACCCATTTAGCCCATCCCCCCCCCCCAACAACCCCTCCAGTAACCCTCTGTTCTCCATATTTAAGAGTCTCCCTGTTTTCATATTTTTAAAATCACCAATCAAGAGGCACCTGAGTGACTCATTCGGTTGAGCATCCGACTTTTTTTTTTTTTTTTAACATTTATTTATTATTGAGAGACAGAGAGATACAGAGGGTGAGCAGGGGAGGCGCAGAGAGAGGAAGACACAGAATCTGAAACAGGCTTCAGGCTCTGAGCTGTCAGCACAGAGGCTGACATGGGGCTTGAACCCACAAAATGGTGAGATCATGCCCTGAGCCAAAGTCAGTCGCCCAACCAACTGAGCCACCCGAGTGCCCCAGCATCCAACTCTTGATTTCGGCTCAGGTCATGATCCCAGAGTCATGGAACTGAGCCCCACATCAGGCTACACACTAAGCATGGAACCCGCTTGGGATTCTCTCTCTCTCCATCTCTCTCCCTCTCTCTGCCTCTCTCCCCCACTCCCGCTCTCTCTTTAAGAAAAAAAAATTTTTTTTTAATTTAGGGGCACCTGGGTGGCTCAGTCGGTTAAGCATGCAACTTCGGCTCAGGTCATGATCTCATGGTTCGTGAGTTCAATCCCCACACTGGACTCTGTGCTGATGCTCAGGGCCCAGAGCCTGCTTCGGACTCTGTGTCTCCCTCTCTCTCTGCCCCTCCCCTGCTGATGCTCTATCTCTCTCTCTCAAAAATAAATAAAACATTAAAAGAAATTTAAATAAAAAGCACCAGTCAAAAAAAAATCACTTCAAGTTTTTACGC